TACAGTTTTTTTTTTTTTTTTTTTTTTTTTTTTTTTTTTTGCATGTTGGTCACTGTCTTACCTAAAAAGACTATTGTGCCCTTATTAATTTATTTTTTAATTAATTTTCTTATTTATGTATTTATATTTTTACATATTTATAAAATTTAATAGATCCCATATATTTCTATCTCCTCGGATGATCTCTACTGTTTATTTGTTAATTAGTTTATTTTTTTTTTAACTCGGATGATCCTACTGTTTAATTTTGTTACGAGTTTGGTCTTTGTCTTACATAAAAAGACTATTGTGTCCTTATTAATTTATTTTTTTAATTAATTTTCTTATTTATATATTTATTTTTTTATATATTTTAGAAAAATTAGTAAACCCCATATATCTGTATCTCCTCACCATCCCATCTCTCATCCTGCTCAACTTCTATTTATTTTCTATCTTTAGTGATATCGACATCTTCATCATCCATTCTTTTTACGGTCCTTCAACTCCGTCGAATCAGCACCACAACACAGTAAAGATGAAGAGACACTAGGTTATGGTGTTGGTTCGTCAGAGTTGAAGTACCAAAAACAGAAGGATGGTGAAGACGTCGATGTTACTAAAGATGGAAAAGAAATACAAATTGGGGAGGATGAAAGATGGGATGGTGACCGGTAAGACCCAAATTAAATTTCTCAAATGTGGTTTCAGGTTTACGGTGAGGAGATACAGATATGTGGGTTCTATTAATTTTTTAAATATATAAAAAATAAATACATAAATAAGAAAATTAATTAAAAAATAAATTAATAAGGGCACAATAGTCTTTTTAGGTAAGACAGAGACCAAACGCGCAACAAAAATAAACACTAGGGACCATCCGAATTAAATTTCTCAAATGTGGTTTTAGGTTTATTGTGAGGAGATACAGACATGTGGAGTCTATTAGTTTTTTTAAATATATATAAAAAGTAAATACATAAATAAGAAAAATTAATTAAAAATTAAATTAATAAGGGAAAAATAGTCTTTTTAGATAAAACAGGGACCAAACTTGAAACAAAAATAAACACTAGGGACCATCTGAGTTAAAAAAAAAGTTAGGGACACAAATCTCCCAAACCATAACGACCATTTGTGTAATTTAATTGTTCATATTTGGGTAACTATTTTTTTTGTACACATCAAGGTAACGAACTTGTTGAAAGTGTTCACATTTAGGATTTAACCTGCTATAGCAAGTCATAATGGTCATATATAAACATTTCCAACAAGTTTGTTACCTAGATGTGTACATTAAAAAAGATATTATCAAGATGTGAACATACCGAAATGTTAATTACCTTAATAAGTCGCTTTCCCTTCACAGTTTTAGTATAACTAGTTTGGGTTAAAGCTTTCTCCATAAAATAAAATAAAAAATAATAAAGTGAAACTCTTTTTAAATAAATTTAGTATTGATAAATATGAATAAAAATAAAGAAATTGAGATTATAAGAGTTTTTATTGATAAATATGAATGAAAAAAAAAGTAATTAAGATTATAAGAGTTTTTACAGATTACTATGAATAAAAACAAAGAAATTAAGATTATAAGTGTTAAGATCATAGTGGTTGGCATGATGACACGTATTACAACTAAAACATTGTATTTTTCGGTTGGAATTTCCAACGTTTAGGTTGTGACTCGTCGATAAAGAATGGGTGTAATGACAATGATTAGATGAATATGCTAATAGAACGGGATAAGTTTTCGATACGATAATGCAGCGCTGAGTTTGAAGCCACAATATTAGTGAGTTTTTACAAACTCCCAAGTTAGTGTATAGTTACTTTCATGAACA